ATTGGGGTCATGAAAAGGCAACAAAGTCAAATACGGTGAAGAATAATAGTACAAGTAAAATTCACTTTCATTTTAAAGCAAGTACCGTTGACTGGTGAACGCAGTAGAGATGATATAACCGTTTTAGCTTTCTTTTACAAGAGTTGCACGTCATTGGTTGCAAGAGTTGTACTTATTGTCGATTTATACTATGCGAATGTCTTATGAAGAAAGATTTAAAAAATAAAAAAAACTACAACTTTAAGGTTTCAAGATTATACTTACGTGATTCACGTAAGATGACAAGGCTTACAAAAATAAAATACGTTCTTATTTAATTTTCAATAGTAATATCCCGAATGCAAGCTAAATTGTCGATAATTTTTTAGAGTGCACGAAGCGCATGAGACGAAATTAGAATCAATTTGGCATGCACGAGGGGTATTTTGCAGACTATTTCCCGAACAAAATTTACGAAAATAATATTTTTATTATGCTTATTTAGTTAAAAAAATCATTTAGAGATACCCATTTGAAACACAAATATTACAGCACATTGTGTAACATAAAGTTGGAAATCGTAATAAGCTGTGCATTTTTGCAAAGCTTATTGAAGGCTTTTGGAGTATTTCTTAATTATTACATGACCTTTTTCTGGAATTACGGATTAATTTATTAAATCAATAAAAAAGTAAAAGTAAATTTTTAGCCAGATATTTTTCATCGAATTTTAATTATTAAGAGTCTAATTAAAATGGTTTTAGTGTGTGGAAAATTGATAGTATTCGTGATACCAACGACCGTGTTAAAATTATTTTTCACCATTCACCAAGTTCCACCAAGAATATTTTTCACTTTTATAAAAATCGAATTAAGCTAATATTTGCATTCAATATGCAGTTTGCGTATAAACTTTCTCAGAATAATAAATTTCAATGAAGGTTAAGTTAGCAGGTTTTGAAAACTAATTATTTAATTTAAAATATCTGCAAACACTGTTAATTAAAATTAAACTGCGATTACTAGAATAAATATAAGAAACCAATTTAAAACAAACATAAAACCTTTTTACTGAATTAATTATTTAATTGTTTGTTTTTATTTTCTTACTTCTTGGTATTATTGTTTTAATAAATCATTGTACGCTTAAATTAGATAATAATTTATTCCTTCCTGCTAAAGATTCTTTTCAAACTCATCGAACTTTCTTCATAAACGGTACCTATAACATTACCACCTAACCAAAAAAATTACTTTCACTGTCCTCAGTCACGGTTACCGTACTTAAAGTAAACAACTAGCTACGAGTATTATGCCAATTTGTGCCACTTCCTTTCTTTTTTACCAACAAAGATATTATTACAGCGACTTGACATTGCATAAGGCATAAAAAGCAATAATTCGTGTAATTTATTGAAAGCCAATTATTAGATTGCATTCTAGAATTCGGGTAAGTATTTCATACAAACTTTTTCTTTTGGCCGAAAATATTGAAAAAATAAATGTCTGTATCGAGAGATCAAGATAACTTGTAATCGCGTCGTCTTTAGATCCGAAAACGTATGTCGGTTTTTGAACTAACTGCACGTGAAACTGCTCGAATTAGTCGCCGACGTATAATAATACGAGTAGGACCGTTCTTTTTTTAAGGTAAATTATAAATTTAGTTATTAAAATCATCACCTTGTCATTTTACTTGACATTTTACAGACATACGTTTTCGGATCCAAGGATGACTCGATTACAAATTATCTTGATCTCTAGATTTTTGTGTATAGCTCCTAGTGGTGACTGTTCTAAACAACATTTTTAAAATGATTTTATTGCTTTGACAAAAACAATTACTTATTATAAAAACTAAGAATACTAGAAAACATTTGGTTTTGTTTTTGTGTATTGGATAGGTATACCAGGACAAATTGTTTTTGATTTGAAAAAAACAACTATGATGTTTTGTTTAATTAGGAAGAAATGTTTTAGAGGGTGCAGATAAAACTTGGACACCTAGTACGTTTTTTTTTGCAATAGACAAAAATTTATGAAATAGTATACAGTGTGTATACGAAATGACGCATAAGCATCTTCAGTACGCTATAGAAGATATTCCAGCAAACTTTTAAAAAGTAATAAAAAAAATCCTTCTCAACTATGAACAAATAAAGCTGAAAGTAACTTTTATTTTATTGCTTATTTTTTTTAATTGGTGATATAATCTGGAAGAGACAAAATCCTTATTTATTTTTTCATATCTACGAAACTGAAAATTATTCGTAAGAATCGTCCAAATTAAATTTTAAAAGTTTATTTTTTATCAAGCTGAAAAATTGATTTGGTCACGTAATTAAAAATAAAATTTGAAGCAATGTTACCATAGTCAAAATAATTATCAGTATCTGTCAGTTTAAAGTATTTTTTGGTTTATTATGCGCTAAAAAACATGTATGTTTTCGTATAATTTTTTTAGAGGTTTCTTGGAAGATTTCCTACATCACATCAAAGAGTTTTGTATACACCCCGTATAAATATATAAATTATTTTCTGTAGATTAGTAAAAAGTATAAAACTTGACTGACCTGATATGTTGTAAAAACAAATATTTTATCTAAAAACAAAAAATACATATTGCTACTTTTTCTCACGTTTTTAAACAGTCAGGATGTGATCTAAATAATCAATACTTGCCTACTTGTAGAAACATTACATTTTGTTTGATGTTGCAAACTCCCATTTTGCTGACCTAAAACTTGGATTTATACAATTTTATATAGCGAAATCGTTTTCCTACAAAACTATTGCAATCATCTGACCAGTAAGTCAATGGTATTGTGATGTTTTTTATGCATCACTGTTTTACGACGTGACACGTTGGACATTTAAATGTACAATAAATGAAGATAACTGAATTTTGTAATTTATTTTTTATTGTTAATTATTGCAAATTATTTTTGTTGCATCAATTCGATGGCGAGGTAACAACGGCCGGCGTTTGGTTGGGCTCAAGGTGGAATCGATTTTGCAATTTAACTATAGTTTGGTTATCGAGAATAATGTGACTTGAAACGAAATAGACTAGGATTTTGGAGCGGTTTCGACGCGAGATTGGCCAATCACGGTGTTGCACAACTTGTAAATTCACCAGAGAATTCTTATGACATTTTTAGGGTGAAATTTTAAAAATTACGTTTTATTTTACTTATTGAAAACTATGTTTTTAAATGAACCCAAGCTGTAAAAGAAAAAAAGACAATTGCAAAAACTTTCATTTAATTTTTTTAAGTTATTCAACTTTAAACAAGTTTTTTTCATTTTTTTAACACATTATGGTTAACAAGTTTGTACTTCTTTAGATTAGTGAAATTCGATTTTTTTAGGGTTCTTGGCATAATGAGTAATGACTTTAAAAAAAAGCAAATAACCAAATATAACCAAAACATCAGCATTAAAAGCTACAACAAAACCCTGAAAAAATATATGGCCTATAATTAAAAAAAAAAACAATTTTGTAACAACTTTCTGGGACACCCTCTATACTTTTTTAAACTATGCTCAAAGTGGCCTGTGATTATAAAATGAATAAAGTAGAAATAGAAGATTTGAAATTTGAAACAGCTCTCATTTTCGATCCCTATTTTTTTCAGTGATGTCAACTTAATTTCAAAATCACAGACTACTTTGATTGCAACAGCACGGTAGGTATAATTTTGAAGTTAACGATTCGTTAAAAATTACTAAGTGAACTCTAAACAGAGCTATTTGTTTAGCTCCTGTTTAATGACTTCTCTCAATTAGGCTTTGACACACTTTTTCGTATCATTTTGCGTGAACAGAATAATTCAATGATGATTTACATAAAATGTGGTACTAAAATAATACACATGGTACCGTATCATTAACCTTGAAATTTCACATTTCATTGCTAATCATTGCATATACACACCTAACCATATTGTTACTTTATGAAATGTGGAGTAAATGGTTTTGTGAGAATGATTAACCTTCGTCAGCAATGGCTGGAAAGCTTTTTTTATCTCACTTTGTACATTTTCAGTTTTGAAATTGATTTTTTCCAATGTCATTTTAGTTGTCACTAATTATTTTTATCACTAGTTATAAAATATGACATTATTTTATCACTAGTGTTAAAAAGTGTGACATAAAGATAACAGATAACACTATTTTCATAGCAACGTCCCGACACTAGTATTTTGGAAAATTATTGAAATCACAGATCTAAAATTCGAATTTGTGCCTATGCTTTTCACAACTAAATTGGAAAAAAAAGTGTTTCATACAACACGATGCAAAATGGCTGCTTTTTTGCACACGATGTGTTGTTCTTCACGTCTAGTGCAAAAAATACGTTCATTTTGCAACTTGTTGCATAAATAGCTATTTTACTAATTAAAATATGCACATAAAATATCAAAAATAAATTCGACCTTAACAGGAATAAGTAAAACATGAAAAAAAACTAGTCAAATGTTAATGGATTTCTGAAGAGGTAAAGTCAGCGTTAGCACATCACAAATTTGTTGTCTCTAAAGCTGCGGAGCAATAAATAAAACAGGTTTGAAACTTTTGACTAAGAGGCAATTTTTTTCAAAAAATTGTATTATGAAAACCGCTTAGTTTTGGAATATGTTGCTACAGGGTTATTATAAATGATTCTAATATCGGAGCATTTTGCTCTATTGTAAGAAAATTTTGCCGCTTCTTTATATCTAATTAGATATTTTTATTATTTTATTAAAGGGATATTTTGCAAAATATTATTTTTTTATGTCAAATTTTATTTCATATTCAATTGGATGTCACATTTTAATAACTGAGATAAAAAATCTTTCAGAATGTGTTTTCCTAATTAAAATTACACATTTAACCGCTTAATAAAAAACAGAATTTTTTTAATCGTTTTTCGTTATTACTAATTTTAATCTTTTTATTAATATAGCAGGTTTAAAAAATTGTGATTTTACATAAATTTTTCTTCGAGTTTGGAAATAAGACTTAACCTTTTGCAGTGGATGATGCCAGTGGCCGATATTCAACAGGATGGTTCTGGGGAAACCACTACTGGACCGGCTCTCAAAGCTTATGTGAAAATATTGTACCAAGAAGCAAATCCATTGTAGTGAATCCAGAGGTAATTATTTCTACGATTTTTAAAAAGCGTTAAATACTTTGCGAAATAAATGAAATAGTTAACGCTAAATTAAACATGCATAATTTTTAATGGTTGATTAAATTTCTTACGTCAACCAAAATATTATTTTGCAGCATTAGAAAGCGGAGCTTAACACTCAGGTCAATATCTTCTTGACTAAAACATTGTTTAATTTAATTTAAACACTAATTGTTAAACTATTTTGGCAGTGGGAACCAAGCACGCAAACAAGTATCGCAATTTTTGAATGTTTAAATAGTGTCAATAAAGACCCACCTTGCTTTATTTTAGTTCTTTGGAATGTTTTCATTATAGGCGAAATACCTGAATTTTCACGCTGTTTTGAATTCATCCTTGGCTAATGTAAGTAAACGAATGGGCTTTTAACGAATAATGAAAACAGGCTAGAGACTAATTGTTTATTTTATGTGTGTCAATAGATGATGGGTAAGTATTTAAAGAGCAAGACAGTTTTTAAAGAGAAAAAAATTATTTATCCCATATCAAGTAAAATTGCGCTATTATTACTATTAAAAAAGTAGTATCATAAACCTTGTTTATCCTCCAAATGACACAAGTAAAAGTTTTACCTTTCGAGCATACTTATAGTAAAAACTCCGTTTTTTGTTGAAGCGTTTTTACTTTTACCATGATATTTACCAATGTTGTCTCTTTTGTCTCTTCAGCAATTTCTGGAGAGGTACATTGTAGATCATCAGACATTTTGCACTAATAACTGCACTAGTCATCGACTAGTTAAATCAATAAACATTTTTGAAAATCTTAACACAAATTTCTATACTGACTGCAAAGCGTCCTGATTATTTTGTTTATTTACTTGATAATTTATGATAGTGTTGTTTTTTACTTTCGATCTAAATACGTTGTTATTTGGAGTAAAAGTAAGTTTATGTGGCTCAGCTAAATTTCGAGCTATACAGGGTGTTCCGTTTTTATTGTTACAAATTTAAACAGGTGATAGGATATTCAATTCTAAGATAAAAGTTTCCTATAAACATGTATCGAAAAATGCTTAGTAAGGGAGCTACACCCCCTGGAAGGGGACTAATATGTTTTTGCTAATATTTCAGAAACCATTTAAGATAAAATTACAAAATTTGGTACAGATGATAACCTTTATACACCTAAACGAATTCAAACATCAAATGTCGAAATTTTTAATCAGGGGCATACGAAACTGGGGGAGTTTAAGGTAAAAAAATACCCTATTTATTTTGGCTTTAGTTTCTCGGTACTTTCAGCAACAAAATCTTAAGTTCGATAGTTTATCACAGAAAAGTCTCTATTGTGTCGATACGACTTATTGTTTTTGAATAAAATTAATTTAAAATTTATGTTCAATTAAATCAGAATTTACAGAATAATAAAAGCAAGAAATCATATTTTTTAATCAACCTCAACTAATTAACATTACATTACAGTAACCATAATAACATTAATTAAATGAATTTGCCTAAATCGAAAGGAGTTGTTCAAAGTGACCACCATTTTGGTCAATGCATAACTAAAGAAACTAAAGCCAAAATAGTTAGGGTATTTTTTTACCCTAAACCCCACCAGTTTCGGTCGCCCCTGATTAAAAATTTCGACATTTGATGTTTGAATTCGTTTAGGTGTACAAAGGTTATAATCTGTACCAAATTTTGTAATTTTATCTTAAATGGTTTCTGAAATATTAGCAAAAAAGCAAGGAAACTTTTGTCTTAGAATTGAATATCCTATCACCTGTTGTAACAATAAAAACGGAACACCTTGTATTTTTAAGCAATTTTTCGCAAGGATGGGAGAACGTATTTTCCACTTTGGACAAGTGAGCCTCAGGCAAAAGCTAATTTAAATACAATGGGACGTCAAATATCAAAAGTATCTCATTCAATTTTGACGTAAAATATTGAACGAGGAAAACAAAGAAAATACTAGTCACACCTCGTTTTTACTTAAAAATGAAATTCTTGTTGTTTAATATTGCAGAATAGGACGCGAACATCGAGAGAAGCTGAAGTGCCTCGAAGATCTTCAAGTCCAAGTCAATCAGTTGGTTACGTCACTGGTCCTTTGAAATACTCCTCTCTGCCACCATTCCCCATTTCCTTCTTTATGTTGCGAATTGATGTTAATTCAAGTTTTACAACGGAAGTAAGAAAATGGGATAATTAAAATCAGTTTGTTTTTATTTCCTTCGTGTTTAGGAACGAATCCTTCATATCGGTCTCTGCATGCCTTATGTTTGCACTGATTCCGATATTAAAGTCATTATGGAAGAAACATCCAAAGCCTCAACTAAAGTGAGTGTAAAAGTCGAAGCTGTGAGGTCTCACCACAACCGATTTAACATTTGGCAAGACCGAACGTTTATTATTTTATGGTAAAAACCAACAACTAAACTAAAACTGTTGTAAAAAATATTTTTCAGTGGAGTAACGTGTTTCGTTGTTGTTTGTTTGATTGTTGGAACCTCTTACGATTTCTATTTGGAACACAATGAAAAACGGAGAAAACTCATGTCTATAAGTCAAACTCACCGAAAACTGGATATGAGTATGCCAGACACAAAAACTAAAAATGGCGTATATATTGTCAATAACAACAATGTGTTGGATGAAACTGAAACTGGTCTTAAAACTGACTCAAAACCAAAGACATTGAGAGATATTTTGAAACTAATAGTAAAGGAAACTGTACTTGCATTTTCACTAAGGGCTAATATTAGGACAATCTGTGACCAATCAGTCAGTAGTGACACTATTCCGGTCATCCATGGACTCAAGTCGATCAGCATGGCGTGGGTCATTCTGGGGCACACTTGTATCATTGCATTCAAATATTCAGGTCAGTATGACATTTTTCTTAAATACCTGTCATTCAAAAAGTGCCAAATCTGTTAATTTTTCTCAAAGTTCTCAAATTTTATAAAATAGCTGTTGGTAACATTTTATTTTTAGTAACTTTTCTTGTTACAAAATAATGAAACTATTTGAAATTGTCTCAAATATTGGTATTCAAGCCTAAAATGACAACTTTCTGCCTTATTTCTCTAAAATCTGCAGATTCTAACAAGTTTCTCGCACAAAAACGAGCTAAATTGCTTGAAATTGGCTAAAATAGCGTCTTTTAGGCAAAATCTGTAGACTTTAGTAAACATAAGCTAAATCGTAAAAAAATTGGGTGAAATAACCTTATCTATACCTAAACTACATTTTTCTGATTTCTTGAAAAAAAAAAATACATTGAGCAGCAAATTAGCTGAAATAATATTACCCAAAAAATTTTAGTAAATAAATGTCTTGTCCAAAAATGAGATGAGTTTCTGAAATTTAGCTCCAAAATTATTTTCGCCTTAGTTTTTACTTTATTCATAACTACTGTTTCAATGATTTACAAATTTTATGAAATAGTTGTTAATAAGAGAAGCAACACTTGTTAATTTTAGTAAGATTTAAGCTCAACGAGGCAAATCACTCGAAGTGTTCTGAAATTGAGGCTAATATGATGTTTTTTTTTTTAAATTTATATGTTACCCACTAGTGAATAAAGTAAACCAAAAAAAATCCGTGTCTCGATACTATGGCGCTGCTATTTCGATGATTTTGATATTTTATAAAATAGCTGTTGGTAACAAAAATTTGTTTATTTTTAGTAGGTAACTTTCTTGTTCAAAAATTAATTAAACTGCCTGAAATTGGCTCAAATATTGGTATTCAAACCTAGAACGCCGATTTTGTGACTTATTTTGGCAAAATCTGTGGATCTTAACAAATTTCTCGCTCAAAAACAAACTTAAACTCTTTGGAAAGCGTCTTTCAGGGTTAAAATAATATTTTTTTTTCTTGTTTTACATTTTAGTGTGCTTTTCGCTTAGAAATAAGCTAAAGCGTGTAACATTAGATGAAATAACGGTATCTATACTTAAAAGTAATAAAAATAGTCTATACTTGCCTAAACCACGCTTTTCTGGTTTGTTTTCAAAAATTCTGTCGGTTTTTGCGTTTTGCGTTTAAAAACAAACAAAACTGCTCGAAATTAGCTGTTACCCTAATGCGAAAACTTTTTGCTTATTTTGGCAAAATCACTTGATTTAAGTGAGTTTTTTTTTATGAAAAACGATAAAAAATCACTCGTAGTTTCCAAAATTTAGGCCTAAAATCATTTTTTTTTTGTAATAGTTTCAATTTCATTGATAGTGTAGAACTATTGTGCTCGATGATTTTCAAATTTTATAAAATAGTTGTTGATAACAAAAGCAAAATTTACTAATTTTAATAAGTTTCTCGCTCAAAAATGAATCAAGACGCTCGAAATTGGGTGAAATATTGTTTTCCAGGAATAAAACAGCGATTTATTGTTTTGATAAAACAAAAACTGTGAATTTTAACGGGTTTTTCGCTCAAAAACGAGGTAAATCACTCGGAGTTCTCTGAAATTCAGATCTAATAAAATGGTGATTTTTTAAAATTTTTATTTTACCCACTAATGAATAAAATAAAATTATCACTTGTTTATAGGCACTGCTATCTCGATGATTTTGAAATTTTGCAAAATACAAATCCAAAATAAAATTTGTTAATTTTAGTATACCTAAGTTTCTCGTTCAAAAATGAATTAAATCGCTTGAAACTGGCTGAAAGTTATTGAGATCTAAAACAACGATTTTCTGGTATGTTTTATTAACAATGAAATAGCGCTTTTTAGACCTAAAACGACATTTTTTTGCAAGATTTGTTGATTTTAGTGAGTTTCTTGTACACAAATAAATTATATATTGCTGGAATTTCGATGAGTTAGTATTATTCACTCGATTTCCACGATATTTTTTATTTTAGCACGTTGTTGTTTTGATTGTTTTCAAATTTTGTTGGTAACACATCAAAAATGTCTCGCTTTTGGTTTGTTTTTCGCTCAAAAACGAGATAAATTGCTCGGAACAGGCTGAAAAAACGATATTCGAACCTAAAGCAATGATTTTTACTTTATTCACAAAGACAAGTGGACAAAATAAGTACAAAAGAGTAATACAAAAACGTAGTAAAGCAGGAATTAGAAAAACTAGTGTATGCTACTCATGATTAAAAATATGCCTTTAGCCAGTTGTAGAAATAATTATTTTCTATCTTGTTTATTTTGCAGATAACATGGAGTATCGGAAAGTGGTCCAAAGGGAATTTTTTTTCCAAACAATATCAAATGGGGCTTTCAGCGTAGATACATTTTTCTTTACTAGTGGTCTTCTAGTCTCATTTTTGTACTTCAGAACTAACGCCAAAGGCAAATTGGACCCTATTACAATCGGCCACAATAGTTTTATTTCGGGAATAACGCATTTCTTTGGTCTTATTTTGTACAGATTTGCACGGTAAAAATCACCAGAAAGTCGTATAAAAACTCAAGTTTTTATTACAGATTGACAGCACCTTATTTATTCACTTTGGGAGTAGTTGAAGTTATCATGAAGTGGTTTAATTACAACTCAATTTTTGAACCCCCAACTATGGACCACGTCAATTGTCCCAACTACTGGTGGAGAAACGTCCTTTATATTAATACATTATTCCCAGTTGAAGAAATGGTAAAAATTAAAACTAAAGTTATTTTTTTCTTAAAGTTTCCTTCTAGTGTATGTTGTGGAGTTGGTATTTATCCGATGACACCCAATTTTATATCATTGGTGCAGTGATGTTGATTCTAGCAGCCAGGTTTGCATCTTGTTAAACATAATTTTATTACTAATTAAACAATTTTAGTCATTTCAAGAGTGGGGCTTGTCTTTTGTTGATCTTCATGGTCAGTTCTTGGATCACTACCGGTTATATAGCTTACAGCAATAGTCATATGCCAGGCTCGGATGACCCTCTTGCCCTTTTTGACAAAATTTATGACAAACCGTGGACGAGATTAGGGCCATATTTGATCGGAATGTGTGTCGGGTGGTTCCTGTTCAAGAAAAATTGCCAACTTACAATGTCTAAGGTGAGTTTTACAGCACGACGCGTAGCGTAGCGGAGTGCTATAACCTGTAAACCTATGATTTTTAGTTGGCTGTGGTGTCGGGCTGGACGGCTTCAATAGCGTGTCTTTTGGCACTAGTTTACGGTTTGTACGAAGCCAACTTGACTCCACTAGCTGGGGCTGCCTACAGTGCCTTAAGCCACTCAGCCTGGGCTCTAGGTTTGGCTTGGATTGTTGTGGCATGTTCCACGGGATATGGAGGTACCAAATTGGGTTTTTTGCATTTTTTTGTTTTCATTTCTCAAATTGAAGGTGTTGCCAACTCGGTTTTATCGTCGACTATTTTGTATCCCTTCAGTCGGATTACGTACTGCGCCTATTTGCTTCATCCTGTCGTCATTCGAATGATGACAATGAGTATGGATAGTCCTCTCCATTTGGGAAGTTTAGTCATGATTATCATCTTCTTAGGTCAAGTTGTAGCATCCTATGTTCTTTCGTTTTTTGTCTCTTTAGCTTTTGAAGCGCCTGTTGTTTCAATGTTGAGGATAATGACGAAAGTTGTAAGCACCAAAAAATGATGTTGACTGTGAAATTCATTTTTGTTTTTAAATTATTTTTTGTATGTAAATAATTGTGTACCTTATTAAGACTTTATAGTTTGTAGGTAATTTTAAGTTTTATTAGCCTTTACACTACCCTAGGAGATAACAATACTTCCCAGTTGTTGTTGTAATATGTATAAAAACTCTTAGATTACCAACTTCATGCAATTGTTATACAAATATTGTTTAATTTGTTTGTATTGCATTAAATTCTTGAAAGCTATAGAAAAAAATAAAAATTGAGATTGTTTTTATTTAAATCTAGTGCAAAAGTATTAATTTTAATATGTTTTGTTTATCAAAATGAAAGTTTTTTGTATAAATATTACGTTGTTTTTTGTTTAAAGCAGGTAATAACTTTTCTTAAATGTATTCTTGCCAGATGTACTTAAATGAGCTGCAAAGTGTATTTTTATTTCAAATTTCAATAAAAAATTAAACAATTTACAACTGTGTGTTTATTTTTCAAAAATTTATTGGTATTTATATTGCTTTCCCTATACAGGCTGCACCAGAACTCGCGCCTCAGAAAAATTTTAAGTAAGATAAGATACCAACATGAAAAAAATGTTTAAAAAATTCCATCTGTCAAAAAATTTTGACATTTATTTTTTGAAATTCGACATTGTTTATGTCTATTTAATGATACTAATGATCTTGTATATGTTTCTTTTTATAATTATTTAGTAAAGGTACAGAAATGTTGTCAACAAAAGCCATAAATAAACAGAGTTACAATTTAGGATACAGCATCCTTGTTTCCTCTTCTAATAGCCTGTAGCAAAAAAACTTGGAAAATTATTTTTCCAACAGAAATAAATAGTCAAAGTGCAAAATTTAAACTCTCATAACTTCGAAATTTTTTTAACATTTTTTCCATGTTCCTGGTATCTCACCTTGCATGGCATTTTTCTCTGGGGCGCGAGTTTTGGCGCACTCTGTATACTAAAGACAAGGAAATTAGGTTTTTTTTATTCATCTCTTACAAATATTAATGAAAAACTTGTCTACCTGCTCTTGGTGGATTTTAGTTTTTTAATAAATTTTGTTTTTGGAGCAACATGCTACCAAAAACAAATAATCAAATTCTAATTATACAAAAAATAATTGTTCATCTACATATTTAATACAAAGCAGATTTTTAATAGAAAAATTATTGTGGTTTATTTTTTTTTAATTATCGTTCTACTTAATAGACTTAATAAAGCGAAATTATTTTTATATAAATATTTTGTTCTAATACTTACCTATCAGTCGATGTGTTTTACTATTTTTTTCGTGATATTTTTAATAAACAAACAACTGAATCATACTAGTTTCTCAAAAAGAGTAGTCATAAAATAATAAAAGTTTTAAAAAATAGTTACTTTTTTATGTACCAGGTGAATAAAAAGTATGGAATCAAGCGTTTTTTTTCGTAAACTAAGCACTTTACGAAAAAAATAATTAGTGTAGCGTAAAGTACAATTAAAATGTGACCATTTATCGAGAATAACTCTTTTCGAAATTTCTTTTAGTTTCCGAGTTCTGGGAAAAAAAAATTTTAAATGGCAACCCACCATGGTAATTTTTTTAATTAAAGATTATGATCTAAAAATGACCTCTAATTAAATAAAATTGTTTTTTAGCCAGTACTTTTTTTTTAATTAATTGTTGAAGTTGCGTTCCGAGCTCATCACGAAGATTTTATTTGGCATGCACGGTGGTATTTTGCAGACTATTTTCCAAACAAAATTTACGAAAACAATATTTTCATTATGCGAAAATAAAAAAATAATCTGACAAAAAAAAGGATCTCAATAACATTTTTCAATTTTATCAGATTCATCCAGTCAGATTCGCGGTAATTTAGCACAAAGGCAAATTACCGATAATTGGTTGATTAGATAAACCTCAGAAATTTGAATTTGATTAGCTTAAATTTTGTGAGGGAAATGGTCAAGAAAATGTAAAATCCAAATAACTGATAAAAATGAAAACCACGCTTTCGTCTTGGATTACTAAACAAATGACTATTTTGTAATTTTATTTTGTTGTATTTTATTTTTTACACATCACATGGAACTAAAGCAATCTGATAAACTAACAAACTTTTTATTGCAAAAAAAGTATTACATCAAGATGGTCACCCTAGAAGAAATCTTGACAAAAGTAAATTTATTATCATTGCTCCGTTTTAGAAGGGCTCAAACTCTTGATTAATTTTTCTAACTCTTCAATCTTTTTATGCAAGCTTTTTAAAGAGTACGAATCTTCAGTGTTTTTACTTTTAATTGAACCATCTTTAATCCTATTTTGTAGAAATGTGATTATATTTTGATCACGAATTACCGACTTTTCCCCCATTTTTTCTAAATAAAATGTCTTTGAGTCGGAATAAATCTTCAGAGTATAATCCAAATTGTCAAACACTCGGCAAAAATTTAACAATTTTTCAAACATTGTATTAAAATAATAGGACGTTTGTAACTTTTTGAAAATAATATTTTCAACGTTTGTTATATATTTTGATCGTTCTTTCTTATCAATAAATTTCGCTTCATCACGAATTGCTTGCAAATCATTGACTGCTAAACCAATAAGCAGATTGTGCAAAATGATCCCAATTAATATAACAAAAACAATGTAAACTAAATGCCCAAAAATCGGGTTTCTTTTAAAATGACTTGGATACTCCGCGTCGGAATCCCCAGCAAACATAGTCACAGTTTCGTAAAGCATAGGAAAAAATAAATAATTTTTATCATCATTTAACATATAAAAACAGAAGAAGAACGCCACCAAGGGAAAACTATAAAACGCTATATACTTGAAAAACGTAATTGTAATTTCTTGCAAAATGATAACTTTGACTGTAAAAAACGACAAATTCCCCAACTGCATGAAAATCCCCAAGGTGGAAGTAAGAAACACAAGGGAGAAAGCCACCGATAAATTTCTATTATTCAAAGTCTCCAACCAACCAGAAGCTATAATATACAAAAGCCCACAAAGTAGAAACAAGTTGATGTAATTGTCCAAGCGTTTGAAATAGTGCAACCGAAAAATTAAACCTTGTAACACCTCTCCAAACGACAGGAGAAAAAATGAAAACATGAGAAACGAGTCTCGACTTTGGGCAACACCACTGAACGTAAATCCATACACTAGCAACGACACGTAGGCACAAAAATAAAGAAACAAACTGAAATAAACCAACCACTTGAACTTAACCCACTTCATAGTCAAATAAATTGACACCACGGGATGATTTGTCAAATAGTTCAAGTGTGAAATATTCGTCATGGTGTAGAGAAAATCACTCTCTGGACTTGTTTCTGACATTAACGACTTGTAATTAATCGTCAAAGTAAATTTCTCGTTATTTTTACCAATGGGGTTTTGTGCCACTTTACAGTTATTTTGGAAAAAGGTTTCCAATGTTTTAGGTTCCATTGCCTCCAGTGGTGTGTTCCCAAAAACATCCTTTTCGACCAAAGACGCTCCCAATGACAGGAAGGCTAAAATATTATCACGGTAATCACAGGAAATCGCATAGTGCAAAGCAGTGCGACCCAATTCGTCGGTACAACCCAGATATTTTTGAACAGTGTTGCCACCACTTCGGTCCAAATGTTTCAAAATCATCTTCATGTACTTATCAGCAGATGCGAGATTTTTGCCATCTCGGTACATAGTTTGCAAGTGGAGGAGAATATTGTTGGGCAAATCGGCGTTTTTTTGGAGGAGTAGTTTCACAATTTCCTTGTTGTCTCCACTGATGGCAATCATAATCGGGAAATGTGGGTTTTTCGGGATGGTTTTATTGGGGTTTGCGCCTTTTTCCAAAAGTCGGGAAACACAAGGAGTCAGGCCTTTGGCACAACAAAGTTGCAAAATTGTGCAACTTGACGTTGCACTATCACCACCATCTACTCTATTCACGTCTTCGTTTGACATGTCCAGTGAGAGAAATCGCTGAATTTGGTTCAATTTAATCATCCCGAAAGTGTTATCAACGATTTTTGAGTTTGTCTTATCTCGAAGGAGTTGCTCAAGTTCGATGTTGTGTATTTTCCAGATTAGGTCCGAAGGGGACACTCCATTGCTATCAGTCTGGTTCACATTGATCCCCCTTGTGATTAACAGTTGGCAACACTGAACAAACTCTTTATTGCGATTGCCGTACTTTAGAAGAACGTTCAAGGCGTTGTTTGAGTAAGACTCCCTTTCTTTCACATTGGGACAAAATTGGTACTTTTTGGTGATTTGTTTTGAACAGTACACCAGCGAATTGACTTCTTTTGGTGAAAGGTAGTCGAGGATAGTTTCCATTTTGATTTTGTTGGCGTTTAGAGCAGTGTAGTGGAGGGGTTCCCAATTGTCATTTTTGCTCGGCTCATTGTAATTAGCTCCCAAGTCGATTAAAATCTTGATGACTTCTTTGGTAACATAATTCATGTTGTGTAAGTCATTGCAAGCAAGTGCCAAGATGGTTTGGTATTCATACACGGGGTACTCATATGATAAAATATTCGCATTTTGAGAAACGAGATGTTGAATTTCGTTGGTGTCGTTTTTTTGCACTGCAATTAGAAGATCTTCTGCCAGTTTTGGGGTGTTTGAGGGTTCATCATACTCCTCAAGTTCGATTTTTGATTCCTAAAATTGCGATAAAGTGTAATCGTTTCGATTTCAATTTACTTACATCAAACTTTAAAATTTTGGTGGGCATTTTTCTCACTTGGTTTTTGTGATCATAAATGTAAAATTAAGGATTCATCTTCAAGATCAACTTTATTGATACATTAAAATAAGTTTTCATCACTGATCATTCATTTTTATCACAGATTAGCCGTTAATCTTATCGTATGGTAAATGTTTTATAAACACACCCTCGACTCTATTTACTGATTATTTTTTATTTATCTAAAATCATTACAACTTTTTGCTAAAAATTGGTAGATATCCTATATTAATTATTATTTAAAGAAAAAATTATAATTTGAAATTGTATATTACGTACGCTATTATTTAAATATTATTCTTGTGTGCTTTTTTTAAAGTAAATTGACAGTTTTTTGTAAATTGCTTACAAACTGTACGTCAAACGTTATATTATATGTACTTATAATGTTTTTATAATACATTATGTAAAATGTTCCAAGAAATCGATTGTCGTCGAGAAAACTGCAAAATTCTTTTTTACTTGAGTTAATATTTTGGATATTTTTTATTTTATCACCAATTTTCTCGATAACTAAATAGTTTTTTTTCTGACACTTTAATGTAATTCAAGCTTTAACGTTAAAATAAATGTCAATTTCAAATTAATGACATCTATTATATTTTTCTATCAAAAATATGTACAACTTGACGACCAAAGTATTTTGTCTCGAACTGTACGAGGAACATGGAAAAAAATGTTTAAAAAATTCTATCTGTCAAAAAATTTTGACATTTGACATTTTTTTTATATATATTTAATGATATAAAAAATAAATAATGATTTAATGAGCTTGTATGTTTTGTACAATTATTTAATAAAGGGACAATCAAATTGTGGGAGAACCAAAGTATTATGATAACCAATTTTTTATTGAATAGTATTGATGACAAATTATTAAATTGTAAGTCTACCAATAAGAGTTTCATTACAACAAATCATTAAAAAAAAAACAATGGAATAGTAAATAACCATTTTATTGTTAGAAATCAACACATTAACATTAAAAATAAAAATCAATCATTCCGTTCAATAGCAACTTCCGTAACAGCTTGAACATAAAACGGCCCTTCCCTCACATATTTTTGCAACTTTTTAAGAGTCATTTGATCGAAAACATCGCTGTTAGCCAACAATTCAACAATACCAAACTTTGCCTCTTTACATTCCTTGATGGTCTCCACACTCCTGTCAAGCAGAAATTCAACCATTCCTAAAAAACATTATTACGAACAAAATTAACACTGAGATGTAATTCAAGTACCTGGAAAGTTTTTTATGGCTTCCTGGCCCCAAGGTTGTCCTGCTACAGCCCTTAAAAGGCCAAATCCGCCAAGTCTCAATTCAAAAAATGGATTTTTCGCGTAATTCCAAATAAAACTCATTGGATTATCTTCTATTAAAGAAAACCATTTTTGTGTAATTGCCATTACTTGATTATTAGGCTCAACAATTTGTAATACATTTTCTAAGCAATTCAAGCCGTGCACTTTAACCTCACTGGGCATTGAAGGGATGGATTTTGAAATGTTTTTAATTGCATTTTCTATGGAAGCCCCCGTTGAGTCTAAAGCAATTTTACCGTCGTTTGATAGTCCTATGTGTCCGAGAGTTTCAACAGAGACGCTAACTATAGTAAAATCGTTACTTTCAATATTGTTGAACATTCTTTGAAAAAGATTGGGATATTTTGCAAGAGTTTCCATTGGCTTCCAATACGCCATATTCCCGAAAAATTTTAAAATTCCCGGTTCACATAACTGGACTGTTACTAAATCATCACTTTCCAACATTCCGCTCAGTTTTTTTAAAGTCTCATTTGATTCTAAATAATTAAAACCGTGTTTACTTGACCCTAATTGGGTCAACAATTCCAAAACGTTCAACCGAAGTAAAATATCATTACTATCAAGTTCATTAAAAATTTGGGAGAATAGTCCAACGCCCTTTAAAACGTTAAAGTTGTCTTCTGACTGATTACTGATATCAATCAATAACTACAAAATAAGAAAATCAATTGATTTTTCCAACATATCCACACGTGATCGAACCTCATAAACTCTGAACCTGACAATTTCACTCAGTCCCATAATTTCATGTAAAGACTGTAAAACATCAGGTTTGGTCAACTGCTTGATCCCCACACTTGACAGCCCCAATATTTTGATGACTTCCGCGGCCCATTTTGCAACCCCCAAATCCTCATCTCCCACACATTTAATAATGTTGATTAAAAGCGACTCTCTTTTGCACAGGTCAACAAGAATGTCCTCGTTTTCAATATTGCGTTTAATCTCATTTAAAGCCATAAGCTTAACTGCTGGAAATGGATGATTTAAAGCTCTTTCTAAAAAAACTCCATATTTATTAGTGCTTTCGCCCAAATTTAAGTTCGTCATACAAAGTGCGAGGACTTCACAAGCTAAATCAACCTGTTCACTGTAAAATTTATTGTTATTGTTGACACAGCACTTTTGAGGTTAGGTTACCTGTTTGAGTCGTTTAAGCAGTCAAAAACTGCGGGAAGTTGCAGAGAGTTGGCTGTTCGAGACATGTCCTCGCGAGGGATTGTTGTCAAGAAGTCTGTCATCTCTCTTAACACCGGGATTCGGGAATCTTCATCGGAAAGTCTTGATAATTTTTCTTCACACCACTCTTCGTACGAAGCCATTGTGACAATAATGATTTGAAAATTGTGAAAAGTGCTGCCAACTGTATATGTGGAAAGTTTCCAGGATACTCGTAGTTGATTGGCTAATTTGAATTTAGCCAATGAAAAAAAAATTGAGACAAAAATTCCATTTTGTAATGTGGAAAATTTTTACGTACTGACTCACTTAAAATCACGCCAAATTAACGCAGAAATTATATTAGCATTGATCATCAAAAGAAGTATCTTTTTAGGTTATAAAATAAAAAATAGTTTATATTTTACACTTATAAACAATACTTATGAATGAATCTCAATTATTGTAGTTTAGACCAAATACCTGATTAATTACAAAATAAGTGATTAAATTCTTTATTTTTGACAAGCTCGTATTTTTATAAATTTTAGTGATTAAACAATTACCAACTTTAAGATGTGATGAAAAACAAAATGTCAATTAAAAATATATTATTTCTAAATAATAAACTATCGAAAAGGGGGTTTTGGGGCTTAAGGTCCCTCCCCTAGAACAAAATCAGCCAAAATTATTGTGTAATGGTAATAAAACTAAAAATATAACCGGTATTTTTGTTTTAAATCTGGCGTTAAAGCTATCCACGAAAGTCCGATTGTGAACGAACCATCCTATTGAAAGCTCGTCGGTCGTATTAGAAATTGTGGTTCGTTCACAACTCACTCATGTCACCGCCAATTATGATACCAAATTAAAACAACCAAACTAAACATTCGAATTTTGTATTCAATGTCATAACTTCAGAAGATTAACAAATTTTTTATTTTTTTTATTTTGAAAATTGCGGCAAACGTTATAATGTTCCACAAAATTTAAAATGGCAAAATTAAACCCCTTTGCATTCTGAGGGTTCAAAAGACTTAGAAAAGTATCAAAATGTTGTAAAAATGCAAGAAATATATATTTTTTTAATGTTGTGTAAAACACAACATATTGAATTAAAACATCGAGACTATTGGCGGCGTGGTGGCATAGCGGCATAAGGTTCCGCTTTCCAGGTAGGTATAGTATAATAAGAGAGAGAGAAATAAGAACACAAAGCATAATAAGAAAGAAAAATAGCATAAGAACAAATTAGTGAATAAAGTACAACATAAAAAAAAAAGAAAGCGCGAAACACCAACTTAAATAAGCACCAAAAGATGGCGGACGTATATGAGCGCGAACTTTAAAAAATGTGTTAAAAGAAACATAAAAAGGAAGTTTCGTAATAAAAATAAAGGAATAATTTTCTTATCAATTATCTTTACTAATAATTCAAATGAATATAAAAGATAAGATCACCAGGGCTCACTACTGTTTTAACGCAAATCTCAATGTTGCCAACTTAATTTCAAAGACATGAAAGTAAGGTTTGATAAATCATAGAAACACGTCGGAAGAAAAAGATTTCTTATATTTATGACGAAACTACTCTGAATTGTATTTTTTTTAAATCATGATACAATTTTTTTATTATAATCTTTTTTAATAACGTTGTTTTGGCATTGGGAGGTCGCATATTGCATTATGTGCATACACTGCTACAATTCCAGCCAGAGATATTCCAATACTATCAGAAAAACTCGTAATTGCCATTGAAAATTGCTTGATTTCTTCTTCTACCTGAAAGTGACTTGGCAAAACTTTTATCTATACAGAGTGTTTTTTTTTAATATGGGAAAAATTGCAACCACATATTTTACATCGAAAAATAACATTAATTTGTCAAATAAACGATCATCCTATAAAACTTTGTTATGAATATACAGGGTGACAAACTTTCATGATTAAAATTGTAGGTAATCTATTACTACTTCCGAAAATTTTACAAGCTTTGTGAGCCACTGGAATCGTTTTTTTTCCGGCAATTACTTTATTTCTACACTTACCAGTGGCGTGCGTATTTTTATTAGTGTTATTTTTCAATGCAATGATTACAATTTATTACAATATTAAAAAAAAATTAAAAATAAAAATTACCTCATTACAAATTCGATAATATGTATTAACATAAGCGGCACCACCTAAAAGACCTTCCCATAGAGTTAAAGCGACCATAATCCAGAAGTTTGGCATATAATAATAAATCACTTCAGTTGTAAAAATAGCTACATTAACAGCCTAAAATAATTGTTAAAAAAAATTATTGTTTACATAAAGTAGCATACTTGTAACACCGACATTATCCAAATTTGTTTTATATAAAATAAATTCGCTGAAGATCGAGAAATAAAAACTCCGACTTGATAAACAACTTGAAGCCATCTGTACTGATCATCTGCACTTAAACGCGTATTTTTAAAATTAATTAACTCGAACTAAATAAACCATTTGAATTGTCTTACAAATTGATATTAAAATTTACTCACAGTTCCTTGATTTATAAAATATTCCAAAAAGTAAACCAAACCAAAAGGTATCATATATTTGCAGAGAGAAGGTATATGTTTGATTTTCTTAATAATCACTTCCTTTGGATTTTCGAGCTCTTGAGCATTAACAACTTGTTGAATGACTGTAATTTCAGTTATTTGCGGATTTGGCAAAAGCAAAAAAAAGCTGGAAACAAGATCAAAACCCACTTTTAACTAAATATCAAATTGCAATTGATTTTCAAAACTTTTCAAGTCAAAAAAGCCAAGAAATTTTGAACGCAATTTTCCCCAAATTTTCTCAAAACCCTTCTAATAATTTTATTAAAAATTTGCTAAATATTGACTGTCACTGAAAAAAACTGATTACAAGACTAAATCTGTCTTCAATCTTCTAAACATTATACAATGAGCAGCAAAATTAAGAAATATTCTTATGTAGTAAAACTGAATATAAAGGGTGTTAAAAAAAGATTGTAAAATATCTAAGAAGTATGGTAAACAAAAAAGCTTCTCTTTTTTGTTTGAACAGACTGAATATAAATGTTTTGAAAAACGAATAATTCTCGATATCTCCGAAACCGTTACTTTGGGGACCTATGTTTATTAAGACTTTTTTGTTTGTTTTAGTCCACACTATTATCTCCTGAAATATTTTACAATCTTTTTTAACACCCTGTATTTTGTTTTGACAAAAATGCTCGAACAGGTCAATTTTAAAATAAAAATACATACCAGGTGAATAAAAAGTATGGAACCAAACGTTTTTTGCTTAAACTATTTATTTTTTGAAAAAACTAATTAATGAGTGATAAAGTACTATAAAAATGTGATGATTTAACAAGAATAAATTTTTTCGAAATTTTCTTTTGTTTTTGAGTTCTACAAAAAAAATATTTTTTTTAAATGGCAATCCACTATAAAATCATTTTTCTCATAAAAGCTATACTCTAAGGATTACAACTATCTGCTTTATATTTAATTAAAAAAAAAAAAAATTCACATAAAAAAAAATCGCGCAACTCAAAAACAAAACAAAATTTCTTTCTGAAAATACGATCACATTTTTTATATTACTCTAATTTATATTAATTATTATTTTCTGGAGACAAATGATCAAAAATAAAACCGCTTGGTTCCATACTTTATATTCACCCTGTATAATACAATATTTCAGAAAAGAGAGCTCCTAGTCAATGCTTCCCCAAACGGTTGCGCTACGTTGTGTTGTGTGTCAAAAATAACAAAAGGAAAATAATTAGAAAATAAAATTTTAAGAAACCCGAGGTATAACGAGGCCGCGTTGTAAGAAAGAAAACACAAGATTTAAACCACATTTAAATTTATTTACGACAATCAAAATAAAATAAAGTGGAACTTGGCCCGGATTGTTAGTTAATTAATAGAAAAAAGTAAATACTAACCAAGAAAATCAGATAGAACAATTAAAATAAGATAAGTTAAAGTGAAGTCAAATAACAAAAACTAAACTACAATAAAATAAGTCCTAAATAAGTGCTGAGTTTCGATTTACTTTAAATACGGCCCTGCTTTCCTAACGCTTTGACCAATTGCAGCTTTTTTTCTACAACTACAGGGACCAACTTTTGTTTCCAATAATAAAATTAATTTAGGGCCAAATTTAAAGGAGCCTTAAATTAAATGTTGTTTAGAATGTGCTGGCTACTACGGATTTGTTGAGAAAAATTTCATATTCTATGAATCTCTTTTTAATTCGATTCTGAAACTGACTCTTATTATGTAAGCTATTTAAAATTACCTAAATTGACTTTTGACCCAGACGTTGACGACAATAATTTGCAACGACTTAAATTTATTCCACAATTTGAACCAGATTTTCCTAAATCCTAAACTACCTTAAATTAATACACCTATGGACCTGTAAATTATAATGGGCGATAGAGAAAGAGATTTATCTAAAGAGATAATAATTTATTTATTCCAATTGACTTTCAAAAGTTCTCAAGTACTATAACACTCAAAAAAAGCCAAGAAATTTTGAACAAAATTTTCCTCAAAACCCTTCAAATAATTTTCCTTACTTTTATTCGGTTTGAGCAAAGTTGTTTTATTAAAAATGTTTCTGCTAAATATTGACTGTCACTTAAAAAAGCGAAAACCTGTTATAGGAAATAATCACTAGACTAAATCTGTCTTCAATCTTCTGAAACTGAAAATATTTTAAATTGACAAAAATGCTCCAACGGTCATTTTTTTATGTATGAGTATGTATGTATGTTTTTTTTTTATTGATTTGTTTGATTGTTTTGGTGATTTTTTTTCGATAACTTTATGTACGTAATATCTAATATTTTGGTGTTAAGTAAAAGAACTTTCGAATTGGCTAAAAAATAGAGGTTCCCATTAAAAAAAATGTCGATGACACATCATTACCAATAAGTGTAAAATTTTAAAACAACTTGAAAATTGTGTAAGTAATTTTTAAAAAGAAAATTTACCTGTTCAAGCATTTTTGCCAAAACAAAATATTTTCAATTTTAATAAAATTATTACATAATTTTGCCTCTCACTATAATAAATTTCGCATATAAAAATGCGAATGTAAATATTTAAACTTTTTGCCCTCTGTAAACTTAAACTTACTAGCAGACTTACGTCAAAGCCATTATTGTTGGAATTAACAGCAATATCATCATCGTAATTGTAAATCCTATCTTTTGTAAAAGAGCGTAGGAAAGAGCACCAATTACACCTGCACCTCCAGTGCCTGAACTCCATGTAGAAAGTACATTGCTGAAAAATCAATAAATTAGAAATTAAATGTTTTGAACCATACATAATCTATTCACAAAGTTCCTGAATATTTTATATTTTTTGTTCAGCTTTTCCAACGATAGCAGTGATTCCAACATAAATTTAAATTTCTTTTTGTGTATTTTTAGTGACTTTGATACTCTGAAAAAACTATCGCTGGAAAAACTATACACCGAGAAAAATATTTAAACCAAGTGTGACTGTAACTAAAATAGTATACAACCATAATGGGAATTTCATGACACCCTCGAGGCTGCGCTCCTTGGTCAGATTACCTGAGCTCTCCTGGTAATGCTTCCCAGCTTGGTTGTACTATACTATTTTATTAAAAATAAAGAGTTGAAAAAATTATAATCCAGGTTAACTATTTTTTGGAATTCGATTCTCGCGAAAACCGTTAAATAAGTCATTTCTAAAGTTTGTTTTTTTTTTAAATGGAAATGCCAAACAGTCTTAACGTTGGCATCACTAGTAAATTCATTCATGATAATTTTAATAAAGGAAGTTCGCAGTTCCGGTTTTTTGAATTAATTTGAAAACAATGTCATTAAACGTCAACACGAAAAATAGTCTAAGAAAATTTAGAGACGAAACACCAAAAAAGAAACAAATTCGGTACCACTAACAGTTTTTCGAAATTTGAAAACGAATAGTTCACAAGTAGGAAGTTAGAAAAAGGACCCGTTAAAATGTAGACGCAATTTGTAATGCAGGTTTGTTAAATATTCTTAATTTTTAGCAAGAAATCGACAAGAATACAAAATAAACATGAATGAGAAAGAACCTGGGAAAGAACGCAATTAAATTAGTGTCTTGTGCATCGTTTTTTGAGGAATGAGTTGAAAAAGTAATAATTTTGAAACTAAAGCTGAAGAAGAATTTATAAAATGCATCAACTTTGAGCTCATTTCAATCAATTACACAAAATTTATTGCCAATCATCATAATAGCTACTTGTACCTTTTGCTAAATAACTTTTTTTTGTATATACATCCTTTTTCTTCAAAGTTTTTGTAGCAAGAACCTCATTTTTGTCCACAACATTGTGCTTACTTGCGGTGTGTTTCTGTCAAAACTATTAGCACTGAATTCTGTCTTTAGATCTTAGGTAATGATGTCTTTCCTCAGCGCTTTCAAAGAGCAAACATTCACACAAGATTCATAAAAGTCAAAATTTTGACAACATCTCAATTGGAACACATTACCATAATTTTTTAACGAAATTTCAAGGACAAAAACAAACAAAATTTGTGGCTATGGAGACAAGCTGCTACCATTTTTTTCACCAAAATTTTGACTTGGTAATTTCAATTTAAAAAAAAAACAGACTTTAAAAGTATGGTAAAGGCATGGCTTATTTTACATCACCTGTCATAATATGAACTATATTGGAGAAATGTAACTTCCCCGAGTCCCGAAGAAAAAGATGTTGCAGTAACTCCAATTAATGACAATGTGAAATTTCTGCCGCAACCCACGAAAAGAAATCCAGATGCTGATAACAACACACAAATGGCAATTCTTATTCTGTAAATGTGCGATTTAATTTTCGCGAGTTTTCTGTATAGATTATTACTACTTCACACAAAAAGGAATAAAAGGTGCTATTAATTTAGCTAAAATTGCTGGGATAATATCGGCCAGTAATATTGTACCTGTTGATACATAAGTACATTCTCTTTCTTTACTCCTTTTTCCCTACAAAATGTTTGCAATCAAAAGTGTTGGATTAAAGAAAGATTTGGTTACCCCACTTGTGCATATTATATCAGCAGCAGCTGTTAACATAACTACGTATCCGTAATTGTTACACAATCCGAAAATCCAAAAAGAAATTAAAGCCCGCCAGGGTCTTTCTTTGGGTAGCTCCAATTCCAGTTGCTCTTCCTCTTCATATTGCATTTATACTATATGTAAGATAATGTGATAAATTCAGATTAACTCTTAAATAAATTAATCAGAAACAATGTAATGACACTTTATATCAAAATTTGATTAATTTTTGATAGATAGCATTTAATATATTTGACAATACCACAGAAATATGACATTTATTAAAGCTTTTAACAAATTTATTTAAAAATAAACTTCATTCTAAATTTAGATAACAGTTAGTGATATTCTATATAATTTTAGGTGCTTATCTTTACCATTTGATAGTTAGTTCAGTGTTTCTAAATTTGAAAAATAAAATATTGGAAATTAAATAAAAGTTCTATTACAAAAGTGCTTTTCTACAAATTAAATTTCTGATCTAAGTAGCCTGCAATTTTATTGAGCTCAATGAGGCTAAAAGTCACCTTTTTTCTATCTTTTATTATGTAAATAAGACTCTACGCTATAGCAAAAGTCTCAATTTGTTTAAAAAAAAAATATGAATATATACCAATTGTAAAACTTACCATAAAAGAAGTTTCTCGTGATTAAGCAAATCTAAGGTTTTCAACGGAATTCAAAATTATCTCTGACGATAATTATTGTTCGTCTTTTTTTTAAATTAAATTGATGTAAATAGCAATAGCAGTTCAACTAGAATTGATTATTTCCCTAAATTTAAATAAAATTTGTTTTTTTTTGGTTTTGTGTTAAAAATAAGTACTTATTCTAATTTTGCTGTCTTCTGCCATCACAGACAATGTTCACTTTTTTTATTAATTTAGTTATAATAATGTGTTTCTTGGTGTCTTTGGCAGAAACATGTACAATGCTAATCAGTCATTATTAAAATGTTACCTCATTTTTTAAGTGAATTTAATATTAATGTTAATTTAAACAGAGCAACACCTAAAAAAATATATAAAAGAATCAAAAGTTATTATTTTTTTCCGATTCACAGTTTTTGTTGTGATTAATAAAAAAGTTTATAACCAGGTCTTATTACTGTAGTTATCAAGTTTGTTGAATATGGTTGTTCTAAAAAGGTTTGATAAACTGTAAGCAGTAAACGTGGTGGTAGTTTTATTCTTGGGCACCAAAACAGGTAGAATTTCTAACAAAATACAAAATACGTGACCGAAAACGATTACTCTGCACTAAAATGCAGATTAGGGGTTTTTCCGCTTAAGATGTTTATTGCTCACTTTGTCGAACTTTCCAAAACAGATATTACAGGGGTAAGAATCGGTATTTGCAGCAGGTAAAATTCTGTCCTATTGTTGTATATGAAAGAGCAGTATTTTACGTTATAAGCAAAAGCAGAAAAAGAATGAAATAATTTTGTTCTTTACTTTGCTATTAAATCGTTGCTAATTACACTTTTTACAAAATTCGTTTTTACGACCAATTAATTCTTGCACAATTTATTTTGGCTTGACTCTAAGACAAGAGTGACTCCAGATTACGATTTTTATCGTATACAAAATTGATATAATTACTGTGTTTTTCCACGAAGATGCACACAGCAAGTCAAAACTCATGTTACCTTTGCTCAGTTATAAACATAAGATAATACAGTGTTGACACGATGCGTTGCAGACCGCTGAATAAGCCCAAATTGTAACATTAAGATAAAAACAATGATTGATATATCTTGGGAACGAAACCCAGACTAAATAATTAAACTGATTATCTGTCACATTGCCTTGAAAACTATTACTTAGCTCTTGTTTTTTACGTCTAATAACAAATTGTTATACCTGTGAAAAGACATGAAACTAAAGGATTGAAGTTGGAGGAATTTTTCCTAAACATTTTACCTGTATAATTGGTATTTAATGACAAAAGCACTTTCTAAAATTCACTTCGTAATTGCTTATTAGAAATTTACTTGAATTTTAATAATTTTACCTGAGACCTTACATTTCCTAGAATGTTTTTCCTACTTTTGAATACATTATTATAGAAAATTATTTTCCAGAACAGAGATAACAAACTCGGCAGGAAAAATTAATTATTTCCAAACCAAGTAAGAAAAGATATTTTTCTACCGTTATTTTTTAATAAAAACCATTGCACACTCAATTTAATTGTTTAAAAATCCAAAAATGTTTACGTTCTAATTTACATTACCTATTTTACGGTGGAAATGGAACAAGATATCACATCTGCCTCAAAATAAAAACTTTTAAAAATCATTACTTTTTATTAAAATATGGTGAACTTTAGTCCTCGAATTAGGCAAGACCCTGAATTTGATTAACCAAAATGTAAACAAATATACTTTCTAAGGTTTATTCTTTAAAAAATCCGTATATTATTGTCAGCGAAACTTGTGTAAACTTCAGAATGTACTCAAAACATTGATTAATAACATTTTTTTGACGACTTTACCCAGAATGAAACTGATTTGCACCCCTTGTATTTCAGAAATTATAATCATTTTGGTTATTAGCAAGATATGGTATTTTAGTTTCTTTTGATTTCCAATACTACTTTTTCAAATACATAGGTAGGTATCTGCTTTATTAAAGACGAATTCATTTATTGCATAATTTATGTGCAATTTTGATTTTTGAAAGACGATGATTTCTGCCTAGACACCTTTAAAAAAAACTACATTTTTTCCTTGTTCATATCTTTTATTTTATTTGGAATTTTTTGCGGTAGTCTGAAACACCCTGTATAAGGGTAATAAAAAAATTAGCTATGTTAAGTTAGGAAATAAGAAATTTATTTAAGTAATAGTAAACCGCCATCACGAAAGTTCATGAAAAATGTAAGTTTGTTCGTGTGTGGATTTTTAAACACCGAGTGTTAACGAGTGTTATCATCGACGAGGTGGAATAAATGAACCGATTTACGCAAAGACGAGTTGAATACGATATTTTATTTTTCGAATTAGACTCAACAAGGCTTAAAATTGCTATTAAAAATAATAATTTGATGTTTCGTATTGAGAAATGCCAAACAGTTGAGTGTCATAGAATAAAATAGTTTTACAAAATGTGCATTATTTGAGTCCCTTCTCCATTAATAAGAATAAGTATTCAAAATTGAAAAACCAAACATTTACATGATAATGCATGTAATGCTTTAATTTCAGGTTCACTTTACCATCCTACTTGGGTATTTTTTCCTTTAGCGCAGGCGCTACAAAGAAAGATTATATAAACCTGGGAGGGAGAAAGCGTGAAACCAGAGTCAAACATAACTACAAATTATAAACAGTGAACGAGTGCGTAATGCGCAGTTCTTGTGTTTTGAAGTGAGTTGCTGAAAATTAATTTATGAAACACCAACGACGAGTAAGGTAGGATCTTTCTTGTATATTATATGTATATTATAATAATATAATATATCGTCTCTATGTAATATACATTGTTGTTTGCGGATAGTCCGGTAATATTTAATAATTCGTTCCCAAAATACGATCATATAATTTTTATATTAATTGGTTCCATACTCTCACCCTGTATGCCAATCTGTTCATCTGTACTCTAACTTACCATACCGTACCGCATATTTTTCCGGTTATTATTATTATTATTATTATTATTATTATTATTATTATTATTATTATTATTATACGCAATGGTTCTCGTTCGGTTAGGAATTCTAAACAATTTATTTCCATAAAAATGTAACTAAAGGCTTTTCATCGTAGAAGATAACGGTAAATCCTGAACTGCAATAGTATGTTTTTTTTGTGTCATACAACATTGCAATTCGTCATTTTTAACCGATTTTCTATGCATCAGTCGACTGAACACTCATCCGTGTTCATATCATAAAAGTAACTTTTAATATTTCAGAGATATTTTTTATGTAGGATTTAAATGAAATATTATTTCAATAAGACCATCTTCGTCCAACAATTCTTTTGTTGGTTCGGATTTTTTGCCGATTTGCCAATTATTGCTACAAAATTAGCGTTATATTCGTTGGTATTGCCGTAATGTGTGAAATGATATCCTGTGAACTTCGGATTCATTATGTTTTTATGGTATTGATAGGATTTGTTGATTTTTGCAACTTTTCCCGAAATTAGAAGATGTAATGCGCCGTTTTCTTTCAATCAACCAGGTCGATGAATTTACCTGTTCAATTGTCTGATCAAAAATTATCTTAATTTCTTCAGGTTTTTTGATTTCTTTCAAAATATCTTTGCATTTTTCTTCAATATCAACCATAATCACCTTCTTCAGTAATTTTTCTTCTGTTGTCATTATTGTCATTATTTTTATTTAATTTTCGTTTTAAATTATTTGCTTTTATTTTTTGTTGTGCGTTTACATATTTAGTAGTATAATATCCCGGACTGTTTTTCTAAATATTTACCTTTAGAATTATATGAAATCAGAGCAGCATTCTCCCGTATTTGGTACCCACCTCTTTCGCTAAAAAACACGTGTCCCTCCATTGAATTTTGCCACTACTGAGTTAAATGTTTCGGCACTATTATTATTTAAGTTTTTAATAGACTTTTTGCATTAATTACTAATCTTTTAACCAACAAATTTATGTCGTTCAAAAAACCACATTCTCTCATTTTTAAAATCAAATTGTGTATGTTAGTGCAATAATATTGTAATCAATTTGCATAATCGCCAAAAAATGGTGAACAGTGTTATTGATACCCCTTATCAGTCTGTTGTTCTCGTGAGGTATTTTGAATGTGATATTTCACTGCATTTTGAACAGCAATGCGTAATCGTCGGATATCCTTTTTCAATTCTGAACGAAGATCAGCAGGAACTAATTTTCCGGAAGAACCAAATTTTTTTGTCCAGATTTTTTGCACTTTTTTGCATAAAAAACAACATACGTTTTAAAACTTATCATATAATTTATAATAACATTTCAAGATGCTCTGAAGTAAAATTATGACGTCTATCAATCGTTTGTATGTTGGAAAACTCAATGTCTGTACTGGTAAGTACAGACCTCTTTGTCCTGGAATTTTAATTTATTGTTTTGAATGTAGTTTCGGTAGGAAACAAAAAGCCTATATATATACTTCTCGTCACGATATTTGAACTGTCGTAAATCTTGAGTCGGGTACCCGAATTACTCTTAACAATAAGACATTAGGGTGGTTGTAAATAACAATATCAGTGAGGATAGAATGCGGCAGCACGTCAGAATGGTCCGGACTTAAAAAAATTTATTAGTATGTAGGTAATTTAAAAAGTTTTATTTCATTATTTTATTGATATTTATTTAATAAATTATAATAATAATATGCAATAGAGAAATAAAAAACAGCATCAACATAAAATTTTATTTTTATAATTAATAAATTTTTAATCAGTTTTCGTTATCGCTACTATCACTATCACCATTAATTTGTATTATAAGTTCATTAACAAATTTTTTTCTATAAACCTCTTCAATTTCTTTGACATGCTTGATAAAATTAGTCCAGTTTTCTTTGGTAATGCSGTCAATTCCTTTTTTGATCAGGTCAGTGGTTCCTGTACCAAATGTGGGCACGTTATTATTTCGCCTTAAAAACGATTTCAATTGACTCCAAGCCATTTCGATGGGGTTGAAGATGCAGTGGTAGGGAGGAAGTCGCAAAACTGTGTGACCCGCCTCTTCAGCGACTTTGTCCACCTTAAATTGTTTTTCATAAGTTCGTGACCGCAACACTTCGAGTAATTCTTTTTTAGTGTAACTTGGATGATAATATAAATCCATTTGTTCTAAAAATTTTTGAATTTCTTCTTTGTTTGACGATGAATTTGGAACTTTGTCGTACTGTTCAGAATGATATGACGCATTATCCATTACGATAACACTGTTGG